GCCCTAGCATCTTCTCTTGTAATATCTTTTATTTTATTGTTGGCTAATGGGCCTCTCTTAATGGGCTTGTTATTTCTCTTTGTTTAATCTCTTTATGTTACTGCCTAGCTGGCCGCCCACTTAAGGGCATACTTGTCATCACTCTATTTTTAATACTTAATAAGAGGGGTTAGAGGAGAAAGGGAAGATAATTCGATTCTTCTTCTTCTTCCTTCTCTTTTCGCCATCTTCTTCTCTTGTACTGCTGCTCTTATTTCTCTTCTTCCTTTCTTTCCCTCTAATCTTCAAATTTACACCTAATATTTGAGGACTGATTTACATCTTGAATAAATGTTTAACTATGATCAACTTGGAGAGAAGGGGTGTTCAGATTCTTGATCCCTCCTGTGTTTTATGCGGCATGGGTGCAGAATCTATAGATCATTTGTGCATTCACTGTCTGGTTTCCTCTTCAATTTGGAGACATTTCTTCAAGAAACTAGAGGTGTGTTGGGCTATGCCTAAGTCTGTGAAGGAGTTGTTTATGAGTTGGAGATTGGAGGGTCTTAGCAAGAAAGGCAGGCTTGTTTGGAATACTATTCCGCAGGCTGTTCTTTAAACTCCTCATTTACTGACACCCAGGAGCAAATCTTCCCCACCACTTTTTGCACAATCTCATCTGGACTTCTTGATTGATTACAGAAAATTCTATTGTTTATTTCCATCCAAATGGACCAAGTCAGAATGTTTCTCTCCTACTTTGTACTAAATCATGGATGTTCTTGTAATCTGTTTTGGGCCCAGGAAGATCTAGTTGGCTTGAGTCTTGTTGTAATCTGCTTTCTCTCTGAATAAAATTACTTTACCTTTTTCCAAAAAAAAAAAGATAAAATAAAAATATTACAAATTGTAGGCTCAAGTTTTAACCCAAAAGTTGTAGGCTCTTTGGTCACATATTGCACATTTCACAAAGAGAAAGGCCCTCAAGTGTTGTGTCAATGTTTCCATACATGTGTTGCATGGGTACAATGCCCATTTTGAAGTATCCATGTAAACACTGAGCAATCTGACTAAATTTTTCATCATAGATCTGATGGCATTTCAACTTTCTTAGGAGTGAAAACCAGGAAGGTTAGCATCAGTTTTCGTTGCAGAAGCTATTTTGCTAGATCCCTTTAACATGTGCTTAGCATTTTCATTTTGTTTTCCATTTCTTGGTTCTGTGTTTGTTTAATTATTTAACTCTATCTCTTCCAAGCTTCTTAGAACAATTTTAGGAGCTATTTTGCTAAGTATAGTTTATTGTTGCATTCCTGGGTGGTTATCTACCTTAAAATCACCCATGGCAATTCCTGGGTGGTTTTGCTTTGGATGTTTCATTGTTGATTCTTTTCTTTGTACAGAATAATATATGTAAAGGTGGTGATTTCAGATTTACCTTCTCTGTGTTTGATACGATTCTTTACTCATTCCATGTTAATGGCCATTCAATTCCTTGACATGTCATTCAGTGACTTTTAAAACAGAGCACAAATGTTAAAACTGAGTACTAGTATTTCAATATTAAGATCATTTCCAAATTTGTTTTATTCACATGAAACTTGGGAAGAAAAGAAATTTAGTAGAGTTCTAACCTTCTTTCCTCTATAGAGTATATTGTATTGATAGACACAGTTGATTAAATTTAAAGTACCACTGCAGATTTTAGCTCAAATGGTTGATTGAATTTGTATTGTTCTCCTGTGAAACTCTCTGGATGTTCTCTGTTCTGTTAATAACTAATTGGAATGAACTCATTACCGAAACTGTGTCTGAAACTGACACCCTCGGCGCATAGTACAGGGCCCCTTGTCAGAACGTTTAAGAACAACAGGTATAGCAATTGATCCATGGATTTAGAAAGAAAATGATACCAAATTTCCAAAATGTCCTTTTATAGAAACAAAATATCACTTCAGAACAGTTCAGCCCAATATTTAGCATCGACGAAGTCTTTCCTCAGACATCTTAAAATGAAAATAAAAACAAAACTTGATCTATTGAGTATTGACTCCTGAATGCACAGTAAAAGGTAGTACAGCGTGCGTTAAAGCTAATGAATTAAAACCAAAGAAAGCCAATTTCATCGTAAGAAAACACATAAGCTGAGAAGGAAACCCAAACACATGCTAGTAACCAGATCCAAAGAATCCTGGAAACAAACAATCAAAATAAAAATAAATAAAAGAAATCAACGAAATGAGAAAAAATAAGATGCATCATGTGCATCACAAAGGGACGACAGAGTAGCGGCAATAGGAACAACGATTCTTACCGTTTCAATGGATGAAAAAAATATGAACAGCAGCAGTGACTAGTCGGAGCAGCGGCAGCAAGTGAGAGTATCATCACCGGCGATAGAGAAAGATGAACATGATGGAGAAACTCTGCAGCAGTAGGCAACGGTGATTTATGGGAGAAGGAACAGTAGAAGTATAAAGATTTTCCAACGCTTATATGTTGTGGGGGCAATTTTGACATTTTAACTCTTTTCTATTTACCCTCCGGTAGGCTTACTCGAGTAGGTATCATTTACCCGGTAAACGAAATTTACCGAGGGTCTCACTTGATTTTGAAATCCGAACATGACCAATTTACCCCATTCACTTCACGAAAAACGAACATTTGTTTAAAGTACTATCACCTGATTATAAACAATTATCATTAGATTGTTTTTAGTGATATTTAACCTTACAACATTAACAATTTTAATGAATTTGTTATTATTAAAACACATCGGGTTGATAGTTGTCTCTATCACTTCAAAGTTCAAACTAACAAAAGTGGCGTTTTGTATAAATACCCCGAACAATAGAGATTGGAGAGAGAGAGTTGTGAAATGGTTGGTGGAGGGACTACTCATTTGATCTTTGAGTAATTTGTCTTTGGAATTAGAAGTTAAAAGTGAGCGATTAGATCCAAATAAGGTTATTACATGTAGATAAACCATTATATATATATGTTATTTTTTTATATTTTAAATATTTTAGATTGATGAACAAAAATACCCAAAATCTTAATATTCCTTAACATTAGAATTGAGTGTTTGGAGTGATCGATACATTATATTTTTTTATTTTATCCGCATTTTGATAAGTCATCTATCTCGTTAAATGCATTTATCTGAACCCGGATTAGTGCACTTACTAGTGTTCTTTTTATTCCCCATGTAAAATTGTATAATTATCACTTTATCCAAAAAAACTGCATATGAAAGGGACAATATTGTCTGACAACGTATTAGTAGTTTTCCACAGATGAATAATGATTTACCAACGTCTTGATAGGGTATTATTTGCTCAAGTAAATGAGTTACTTGGAAATCATTATTTCCCACGAGATCCACTAATACTGAAATATGAATATGGATTTACTTTTTCTATATAACCCACCAACTTACCCGCCCCCACTTCCTATAAACAAATGAGGCCTTTTGTTATAGTTTCATATTTTTATATGGAGTTTACAATACTTATATTCATTAATTAAAAAATATAAAAATTCTAATAAGCCTTGAAACAAGCGTTTAATGACCCATCAGACAGAATATGATATGGTTGTATACCCTGCTGTGTCAATACTTTGAATCTTACTTAGGGTGTCAATTTGATGTTTCAACTTTCAACTGTAAAGGTCAATGATATGTTCCATACATGCATTCTTTCATGTGGTTTTTTTTCTTTGCACCATAATACAATTGCGAGGTGAAAATTATAAAGAAATTTAAACTTTTTCAAATAGTGGGGGGTCAAATAGGGTTGTCAATCGACTGGTATTAGATTGGATTAGATCCAATTCAAACCTTACCAGATCGGATTTGGACGGTCCGTTATAATTATTGGATTGAAAAAATCCAAAATAAATTGGTCCATGTTCTTATTGGCCTGAATTGGACCTAAACCGAATTTCCAATAATCTGATCATGTGGTCAGAACCCTTGTCCAATTTGAATCCGATCATAATTAAAGTCAACATAAAATCACTTTTACAAAAATACTTTTTATGAAAGCACTTTCATAAAAGTGCTTTTATGAAAGCACTTTTATGAAAATACTTTTATAAAAAACACTTATATGAGAGAACTTGTATGAAAACACTTTTACAAAAGCACTTCTACAAAAGTACTTTTGCGAAAGAATTCTTACAAAAGCACTTATATGGAAGTAAATTTATAAAAAGTACTTTTATGAAAGTACTTTCATTAAAGTGTTTTATAAAAAGAACGCTTTTTTCAGTGCCAAAAGGGTATATTTTTGTAGTTTGTAGATTTTATTCCATTTTTAATATATTTTTTGTATTTTTTAAATGTTTTGTTTTTTATATAATTTTTTGTATTTCATTCAGTTTGGATTGGATCCAATCCAATCCATTTACATTTTTAATGGATTGGACTGGATTTGTTTGTATTAGATTTGGATTGGATTGGGTACAGTCCATTTATAAGTGGACTCACATTGGATTGGATCGGAATGAACCAAATCCAGTCCAATTGACACCTTTATGGTCAAATCAAACTCGACTTATCAAATGGGGTCATGTCTTAGAGATTAATAGGTAAAAAAAGAAAGAAAAAATATACAAAAATGACACATATGTCCCTATTCCATGTTGACCAAGTTATGAAATTTGGAATTTAGGGCTTTTTACTTCTATTGTTTTGTTTCTTTCCATTTCACACCCCTCAACAGTTCAATCTCGTCTTTCTATTTCATCTCCTTAAATTTGGAGGTACCAATCTTCCTTGTCCCCTTTGGGTACCTATCCTCCTCCCCATTAGATACTTTGCCCCCATTGATCAAAGGTCTTGGATCCGCCATGGGGTAGACACGATAATTGTACCAAATACAACCCTATTTATCTAAGTACTATTTAATCACCCATTAAATCTACTTGTTTTTTTTTTTGGGGGGGGGGGGGATTTATGCTCCCATTTACATGGTTTTATCCATGATCTATGATATATTAAATTCATATATCAAACCATAATTTGTGTCAAAATGTTTAATATTTGTAAGAAAATATAAAAAATAAAAAACATTGGAATTTTTTTTTAGATTCCTCCACCTCATAAATTTGTAGGCATCATTCGTTTACCGGGAAATGGGAGCATGTAAGTTGGTAGGTCATATGAAAAAGAAATAAACCCATGCTCATTTTCTAGAATTAGAGGTCATGCAGAAAAGAATGGTTCTTGAATGACTCATTTACATGGATAATTGATACTTTCTCGTACTTGGATAAATTAATTATCCATGCACACTAAAAAATCGCTATTATGTGATAAGACAATATTGTCCCTTCAATAATGTCACTTTTTTAGATAAATTGGTCATTATACAACTTTACTCGGGGAATAAAATAACATTGGCAATTGCTCTTACCTGTGTTCATGTTTCCCAATAAACACTTTCATGGACCCAATTAAGTGTATTTACCCAAATAAATCATTTACTGAAACACGAATGAGGCCTAATAAATTTGTGTAGATGGAAGCAATGATATGTGAGGGAATTTATTACAATTGAAGGGATAATGTAACGTAGGTGGGATTTAGGACAATACATTCATAAAATCAATAAAATTTTGTGAGAGGAATAAACTACAAATTTTAGTAATTTATTTTAGATCATTATAATAAAAATTAATTATTAAATAGATGTATCAATGATCTATCAAATTCAAATTCATTGATGTAACACCAATTTTAAGTGTATTGTAACGAATTCTCAATAAGTTTAAAGTTTAGCAATTGTTTGATTTATTGTATGATATACTAGCGGAGTGCCCCTGCATTGTAGGGGCTGATAAGAATAAAACAATATATTAGTAATTTTATTCGTATTGGTATATTTAATGTTAACTATTTGGATAAATGAAGCAAATTAATTTAGCGTTATTTAGTTAGTTAATTTAATTTAATTAATTAACTATGGTAAATCAGTTAATTATTAATTTAGTTAATATAATTAAATACTTAATTTACATTAATTACTCAAAATTTAAAACAAATAATTTTATAAGTATAAATAATAACTTTAAAATAATTAATTAAATTTAAAAAATACATTTAACTAAGACATTTTAAAAAGTGTATACTATTAGAAAGGTTGGGGGAAGGAGAATGAGGGGAGGGATATGATGAAGCGGTTGAATTCTTCGAAAGAGAGATTGAGAGAATAAATGTTTTAAAATATTAGTTTACTTTCGTTCCATGGATTTCAATCAAGTTGAGATGTTAAAGTGATGTAGATGAAAAGGGCTAGCTTAGCTAAAAAATTATAAGCTTGGTCCTAAGTTTTGTCTTTACACTTGGTATAGGCCCGACCCTACAAATTTCTAGCCCAAGCTTTGGCCTAATAATGTAGCCCAGCCCGAGCTCACATTAGACTCACAAATTTCCAATTCAATGTATATAATTTTAGACCAAACTCCAAATTAATTCACGACTAGGTGGAATTGGTTCCGACCCAATAAGAATTGTGACAATATATCAGGAACCGAAAATCGAACTAGCCCAATCGGTTTGGGCCCATCAGGTTCACCGACCCATTGACTAGGGATGCAGATGGATCGAATCGAATTCAAATAAGGGGTATATCCAAATCCGATTTGGCATTATTAATTGTAGATGCAACCCGAAGATCTGATAGGATATGATAAAACATGGGTCTGAATTTGAATCCAATGGGGAATTCAGATTTTCAAGTCTAATCACATCCGATTTGATTTTTTAAAAACCAATAAATTATTAAAATACAACAATTTAAATAAAGAATAACAAAAACTACAAGTGTCTTTTCAACTATTTTTCATCATATATACATGCTTTTATAAAAAAACAAATAATATAACAAATTTAAAAAATGTAATATAAATAATATAGGGCAAATTTCTTAAACTACCCCTAAGGTTTAGAAAATTGACTAACTATACCCTTACTGTTTTGGTACATTCTTAAAGTACCCCTATTGTTTTTGAGAATTGTCACCATCATTAAGTCGAAACGAAAAAAATAAAATGGCAAATTTACCCTCAACTATTTCTTAAGTTTTCAAAATAAAACCCAACTCTTTCCAAGCGGATGCCCAAGCGAATGCATCTGTGCAAGTTCCAAATCTCAACCAAATGTGTTCCCAGTATGCTTGACCATTACTACTTGGGCAGGAAAACATTGTCAACCTAGTTTTCAATTTGCTAATAGGGTCTGATACCTCAAATGAATTAAAGGTGTTGCTAGAAACACTACTTGTCGCAATTGTGGTTGGTGTGCAATAAGTTACCGATGTATCATAATAAGAGCCTTGTCATAGCTAAGCAGAGATTTGATAATAAAAAAATTGTGAAGCCCATAATTTCGAAACTTGCCCACTTTGCAAAATCTACTACATGGTTGCAGAGCCACAAGGAGAAACCTTCGATTCTGTAATTCAAAGAAAGAAAGCGTGAGCGAAGTTTATAGCATCACATGTAGGAGCTCTAAACATAAATTATGGGTTCGTTATGGTCCACGTTGATGTTAGGGTTTAGGAAGAAATGGGGGAAGTTACTGTAGGTTGTGAAGATAGCATGGACAAGGTGTTGCATGAGGAGGAATGGGAGGGAGAGTCATGGGAGGACATGAAACAAGACATCTTTGAAACTGCTATTAAATGGGAGAAAATTCTTCCTCGATTGTTTCTTAGAGTTCTATTGGCTGAAGCTGATGGTTCTACCAGGTAGATCATCGCTACACTTCTTAAAAAATTCTTCCATGCTATCTTAAAAAATGCAGTTATAGATCATCGCCACACTTCTTTCCTTCTTTTTGAGTTGTGGTGGTTTGGAAATGGTTTAGAATTTTAGGCGGGCATTTATTTAATTCTTTTTGGGTTTGTAATCTTTAGTTGAATTATCCTTTTTTTTCTTTCATTTTATTTCTAAAGCTTTGATCGATAGTTTTCTTGTTGGAGGCTTCAAATGTGTGTTTAGAGTTTCATCTTACTTGCTCTTATTGGGTAGAATAAGAGAAAGTTGAAGAGAATGAGCATGGAAGTGAATAAAAGGTTGATGGAAGGTAGTATTGGGTTTTAAAAATATTTATACATCGCGTGATGTCACATGTGAATGGCTTTTGATGGAACATTAGCGGACATCAACGACAACCAACAAGGGTAAAGCAAGTCATTTATTAAAAAATAGTAGGGGTACTTTAAGACAATAATCAAACAGTATGAGTATAATTAGTTAATTAGCTAAACCATAGGGGTAGTTTAAGAAATTTGTCTAATGATATATTTATAATTCATGACTGGGTGGAACATGCTATGACCCAATGAGAATTGGGACAATATATCAGGAACCGAATCTGAATTGACCCAATTGGTTTGGATCCATCAGGTATAATCCGAACCATTGATAGCCCTAAAGAGAGGGGGTAATAAATGAAAAGTATAAAGAGAGTAATAATAATTTTGTGGCAATATTGTAATTACATGTTGATAACACTCTTGTAAGTAAATAAAAACTTAATGTCATAAGTCATATGCATAACTAAAAAAGAGGCCATGATTGCTTTCAATGGCCCTTTCGTAATTAATAGAAAATTTGATGAGATAAATCATAACACTTTTGTAATTAGTAGAAAATTCAAGAAAATAAGTAATGACACTTTCGTAATTAACAAATGCTCATGAATATCACACATTGGTTTTTACACAATAATTAAAGAAAAATAGTGGTTCAATAAGGTGAGATTGAGTTTTACACTTGCATCTTCCATTGGATTTAACTTGTTGGTTTTTTACATTTAACACTGGTTTTACACATGCATCTCCTATTGGGTTTTACATGTGGGTTTTATATTTAACATGGGTTTTACATTTAAATTTTCACATGCGTTGGGCATGTAAAGACAAACGAAAAAGAGACCAAAGATTCAATTTTGTGATTTGTAAGGGCTTTTTTTTGTACACAAATCCATTGTTAGATGAATCAATGAAACGACATCAATTCAAATCCTGGATATTCGAATTGAGAGAGATCAATAATTCTCACTATTTCATAGATTCATGGACCAAATTTGATTATGTGGGATCTTTCACTCACATTTTTTTCCACCAAGAACATTTTATGAAACTCTTTGACCCCCGAATTTGGAGTATCCTACTTTCACGCGATTCACAAGATTCAACAAGCAACCGATATTGCACGATCAAAGGTGTAGTATTGTTTGTAGTAACGGTCCTTATATATCGTACTAACAATCAAGATGTGGTCGAAAGAAAAAATCTCTATTTGATGGGGCTTCTATAACTAGCGGAGTGCCCCTAAGTTGCAAGGGCTGATAAGAATACAACCGGGGATGCTCATGGTTTGGTTAATCGAACTGTGTGCTTATTTCTGAAACCGAATCGGGGTCACTAGCTTTTGGAAAACTGGTAACCGAAACTGAATCGAAGCTGATTGGTTAACCAGTTCGATTCATCGATTTTTCAGTTTTTTATGATTCATGATATATATTATAGAAAAAATATATAAACATATAATAAAATACTATAAATATATAATATTATTTTTAAATAATAATAAATATGTTATATATTATAAATATATATTTATATATAATGCATATTTATTAATTTATAATGTTTATAAAATATAATATACATAATATATATATATGTATATTTGTCGGCTTGATTAACCACCACTTTCTATTTTGGTTAACCAAAACCGAACCAACCGGTTTGGTTAACTGAACTTTCGATTCGGTTTTGGTTGGTTTGGTTTTTCGATTTTTCTTGCTCACCCCTAAATACAGCAACACATTAAATAGGTAATTTTATTCATATAGGCATATTTAAAGTTAACTATTTGAGTAAATGAAGCAAGTTAATATAGTGTTATGTAATTAGTTAATTTAACTTAATTAATTAAATATGCTAAATCAATTAATTATTATGTTAAATACTTAAATTACATTAATTACTTGATTTTTATAACAAATAATTTTACAATTATAAATAGTAACTTTGAAGTAATTAATAAAATATTAAAAAATACATTTAATTAAGACATTTTTAACAAATGTATCTATTAGAGGGGTTGGGGAATGGGGGGGGGGAGGATGGGAGGGAGTGGCTAAATTCCTAGAGAGAGAGATTGAGAGAAGAGGGAATGTTTTAATATATTAGTTTTCTTTTGTTCCATGGATTTCGATTGAGATATTAAGGCGGTGTACATGAGAAGAACTAGCTTGGCCCAAAAATTATAGGCTTGGTCATAAGTTTTGTGCTTAGACTTGGTTTGGGCCTAGCCCTACAAATTTTTAGCCCAAGCTTTGGCCCAATACTATAGCTAGCTCGAGCTCACATTAGACTCGCAAATTTCCAATTCAATGTTTTTAATTTTAGACCTGGCTCCAAATTAACTCGCGATTGGGTGGAACTGATTTCAACCTGATAAGAATCAAGACAATATATCATGAACTTAAATCTGCACTAACCCAATCGATTTAGGTCCATCAGGTTCAACCTGACCCATTGATTAGGAATGAAATTATCGGATTGGATTCTAATAACGATATGCCCGATTATGACCCGACACTATTAATTATGGATCCGATTGGATATGATAAAATATGGGTATGAATTCGAACCCAATTAGGAAGTATTTACAAAAATGCAATATAAATAATATAATTATAATTCATGACTAGGTGGAACATGCTTTGACTCAATAAGAATCGGGACAATATATTAGGACCCAAAACCCAATTGACCCAATTGGTTTGGGTCCACCAGGTCCAATATGATCCATTGATAGTCCGAGAGAGAGAGAGTAATAACAATTTCGTGGCAATATTATAATTACATATTGATGGCACTCTTGTAATTATATAAAAAATTAATGCCATATGCACAACAAAAAAAGAGACGTGGTTTTTTCAGTATCACTTGTAATTAATAAAAAATTCAAGAAGATAAATAATTACACTTTTGTTATTAATGAAAAATTCAAGAAAATAAATAATAGTATTTTTATAATTAGCAAATGCTCGTAAAAGATTACACATTGGTTTTTACACGAGAGTTAAAAAAAATAATGGTTCAATAAGGTGAAATTGACTTTTACACTTTTGGTTTTTACACATATATCTCCCATTAAATTTTACATTTAATATTGGATTTTGCACATTCGTATTTATACATGCATCTACCATTAGATTTTACATGTTAAATTCTACATTTAACATTGCATTTTACACTTTGTTTTTTACACACACCTCTACCATTAGGTTTTGCATGTTGGTTTTTATATTTAACATTGAGTTGTTACACTTTAATTTTATACATTCATCTACCATTAGGTTTTACATGTTGATTTTTATATTTAATTTTGCATTTTACATGTTAGTTTTTATATTTAAATTTCCGTACCATTTTATGGTTAGTTTATTTATTAGTGCATATTTTTTTATTTATCTATCTTATTATTATAATCTTTTCCAAAATGAGTTGATCCTATGTGTAAACTTGTGACCTGGTGGGCCTGGTCCCGAGCATTTGTCTGTGACTCTGTGGTACGCCTACGACGAAATCAGCCATCACGGTCTGTCATTTGATAGCATCAACGCACCGTAGCTCTAGGCCCCACTATGGTGTAAAGTGTAAACAACCGCGAAAGATAAAAAAAAAAGAAATGGCGCAAGATTCTATTTTAAATTCGTACTCAGAAAATTTCGCTTCCTGTGATCCAGCTAAACAACAACCGAATCCTCTCTGTCCGTTCCTTTTTCTTCAAATCGACGGTTCTGTCCCCTCGATCCGCGTCAAAGTTCTCCGACCAATCAGATTGCATCTCCTAATCTCTATATAACAAGATCCGCAATTCTTCCTTTTCTCGTCAAGTCGAAAGCGTTTCCCCTTCTCATCGTCTACTCCACTATCGTCTCGCTAATCGAACAACCTTCCATTTCCCTAAAGGCCTAAATCATTCTTGAGTTCTAATGGCGCCTAAAGCAGAGAAGAAGCCCGCAGAGAAGAAGCCAGCATCTTCGGCTGCCGAGGAGAAGAAGGCCGAGAAGACTCCGGTTGCAGAGAAGAAGCCCAAGGCAGAGAAGAAGTTACCGAAGGATGCTTCTTCATCAGATAAGAAGAAGAAGCGATCGAAGAAGAGCGTTGAGACCTACAAGATCTACATCTTCAAGGTCTTGAAGCAGGTTCATCCTGATATCGGTATCTCAAGCAAAGCCATGGGGATCATGAACAGTTTCATCAATGATATCTTTGAAAAGCTCGCTCAGGAGGCTTCGAGGCTCGCGAGGTATAACAAGAAGCCGACCATCACGTCCCGGGAGATCCAGACTGCCGTTCGTTTGGTGTTGCCGGGAGAGCTTGCGAAGCATGCTGTCTCTGAAGGAACCAAAGCTGTTACCAAGTTTACAAGTTCTTAGGGTTTCTTGTTCTGTAATTTGGGTCTGTCATTTACTCTGTATTGGTGTAATGGTTTATTTTGTAAAGATAGGCCTTTTTTAGCTGGTTATTTTCCTCTTGATGTGTAATTTCATGCTTCATGAACGAAACATCTTATGAATGAGAACAATATTTTCTTATGTTCCAAATTTAATGCATTATTCTATTGGTCTTGGCCTAGCGAAATCGAGATCAATCTGCAACTGGTACTTGAAGTAGGAATTCTGATGTTTTCCGGGTAGGGAATCTAGTGGGTGAGGACTGATTTTAAGTGATTAGGGTGGTGGGCCCATATGTTTTGCCATTTCTTTTTCATGCGGAGCATGTATGTTCACAATGCATGGTAGGAAGTGCGTGTGAGGCGCCGGGTGTCGGGTGTGAGAAACAGATCCAGTCTCGAACTTCTGACCTCGTTTTAACGTGCGCGTGGGGTGCTTGTTGTCAGGGATTTCATGTTTCTAAATCCTGGTGAAGCAAACAAAGCTTCATTTTCTCTCGCCGTCTTATCTTAACCCGCCGAAATCGAGTTCAGTGTGTTTAGTCATTGTTCGGTTGCATATTGCTCTGGTGTCTGTTGATGGCGCTCAGCGTCTATATGCGTGTCAGTTCTATATCTGTTACGCCTAGAAAGCTTCGAATCCCTAATGGTGTTAGAAGCGTTGGAGGCTGCGTTGCTTCTGCGGTGAATAACGATCCCAAACCTTCAGTTGGCATTTATGCGGATTCTACTCCGAGGGCTCGATTTGTTGCGAGGCGGTCCGAAACGGTTTCTGTTCAACTGCTCGAACGCCCACTAAGTCGGTACTTGTTGCAGATACGAGGGTACGATGTGAGGGGGGAAAGCTGAGTTTACATGTTCTAAGTTTTTGTTTTCCACTTTTTTCTTGGTTGCAGGAGACTATATGAGCTTGCCTGCAAGCCAGTATTCTGTTTTGGATGCCGAGAGGATTGAACGGGTTGATGATAATACCTTTCGCTGTTATGTGTACCGGTTTAAATTTTTTGCTTTTGAAGTCTGCCCTGTCCTGCTTGTTAGAGTCGAGGAGCAACCTAATGGCTGTTGCATTAGGCTTTTGTCCTGCAAGGTATCTGCTGCTCCATTTACTCCCCGTTTGAGTGTCTTCTCTCGTTCAAGAATTCCTAAGTGTGAAGGGAAGTAGCCTTTTATCGTCAATCGTCTGTTTTATTTGATTGCTTTATTACTCACTTGTTAGTTGGTGGCTGGTTGCAGTTGGAAGGTTCAGCAGTCGTAGTTGCACAGAACGAGAAATTCCATGGTATGAATTTCCCATTTTCTCTGTTCTGCACTAGTACAGCAAGAATTAATTGCAACTCTGCACTCCACTTTTTTGATACTAGTACAGCAAGCATTTCTCAATGTTTGTAGCTCTGGATTCAACCATAGTCTTATTAATACTATTTCATTAACCAAAACATACACCAAGGCACCTTCCTCGTGTAAATACTTAGTTTATCTATATCTAATATAAAATAGATATTGACAAATGTTGACCTTTGGTATAAACTCATTTCGATTTGAAAATTTCCTCTTCCCTTTTGAATTCGCACATTGGTTATCCTTAATGATATCAAAATACCTACTTGAAGGCCCTGTTTCATATTAAATGTTGATATCTAATTTACTCCCTAAGTTTCATTTTGAATATCCCAAGTAAAAGATTACATTTCATAGTTGATCTCTCTAGCATGAATCCACATTGGTTTTCTAATACACCAGTTGATGTCTTAATTGTTGTTCATTCATCCTCGTTGGGTGGGTTTCATGGTTCAATAATTGTTGTGACTTTATGTATCACCTTTGTTCATATATATAGGGAGCAAAGTACTTTTCCTTTAGTCATCAGGGTCTTTATTGTAGTTTTAGCATCCATATCAAACAACTTAATCAACCATAGTAAGCCCATCTCATCATGTACTTCTGAACTTTTATTGAGATACAATCTCAAAGTGTTTCCTTGATCTTTCTTAATGCTTCTTTACATTTTGGAGCATTAGTTTGTGTGCTCTTTGTGCTCCATTCTGAAGCTTCTCTATCTTCATTTAGTAATTTTTGAAAACAACTTCATGTCTCTTTAATCTCCTCATTTTTTAATAGAACTTTTTGATCTTCACTTTTATGCATTTAATGAAATCTAGACTTTACTTTTCTTTGCCCTTTGCTTTGAAAATCTTTATGTTGCTGTTCTTACCTTCTTTGCACTTAGTTTCTTGTGGCTCGGTTTGGAAAGAGTGCAAATGCAAGGTTTAGAAATATTGCATACAAGGGACAAGGTATTGCACTGTACATATTTGTATTTGCACTCTTCCCAAAATGAGTCTGTAGCTTCATTTGGGAAGAGTGCAAACACAAATATGTAGAACGAAAAACCTTATTATACCGTATTTGAAAACCTTGTATTTGTACTGTACATATTTGTATATGCACTCTTTCCGTAGGCTCAGTTTGGAAAGAGTACAAATGCAAATAGATACAAAATAATATAAAATACAAGATTTTGCACTCTACATATTTGTATTTGTACTCCTTCTGATCTGAGCCTATAAAATTAACTATTTGCCTTGATTTTGACTTCACTTACTAATTCCTTAGCTTCTATTTTAGCATTTGGTGTCCCTCTAAGTTTCCTTCATTTTTTAATTGTTTTTCAAGTTTTGTGTCTCTTTGTTTTAGTCATTTGTTGAACCATTTTATTTCACCACCAAATCAACTAGGGTTTCAATTTGGGTGGTCTTTGGTTGAGCATTTGTTAATGTTTGAAGGGCTCAGCTTGAGGGTCTGGGGCCAACATTGTTTAAATTCTTCAAGTTGGGTACCTGACTTTCACCTGTACTCAACAGTCATTTTTTCCCTTTGTTTCTCCAAGAACCTCTTTAGCAACTCTTTTAATACAACTTTGCTATTTAATACCATATATAATTAATTTCTTTCTCTTACTTTTAATTTGTCCTGGAACTGTATTAGCTTTTCTCACTTTAGATTCTATCACTTGATTTTAGGGGCCCTGTTGTTTTCTTTTTTCCCTTTTCATCTTTGCTCTAACACAAACATCTAAAAGCAGGACACCAAATAGAGTAGAATGGTAGAATGGATTCATATGTTTGATCCCATATTGTTGGTCGTGTGTCTCAATTAGATTGCAAGTCATGTTAGTTTCCATAAGAGTTCTTTTGTTCCAACTGATAATAATAGAGCATTGAGTCCTTTTTCTTTTGTCAATTCAGATGTCTAGAGTCTTAGTCGTGTCAGTTCTTACAATGGGTTCAAATGCTTTGTAATCTTTATTTCAAGAATGACATGCCTTATTTAATGAAAGTGTGTTTTGAATTATTCTCTCCTTCATCCCTTTTATGTCGAGATTAAGAATCAATTTGGTGTTTCTACTATTTTTTTTTTTCCGCTTAGATAATGCTTTAGGATACATGCAAAATGCCTTTCAAGCCTACTTTATCAGTGTGGCATTATTCATGAATCGTTTCGCACTTGCACCCCTTAACAAAATGGGGTTGCTGAGCGAAAACATTGCCATCTTTTCGATGCTGCTGGTGCTCTTCTCTTTTCAAATGTCTGTAACTCTGTACCCAAATCATATTGGAGTGATGCTGTTTTAACTTCCTTTTTTCTTATTAACCATTTACCATAATCTGTTCTTCATGGATAGTTTCCTTTTTTATGTGTTGTTTCCTTTGATGTCTCCATGGCCTCTCTGTTGTTGTGTATTTGCTTAGTTCATGAACTAGGTTCTGGACTTAATAAACTTGATATTCAGACTGTTAAATACATTTTTCTTGGATATTTTTGTACCTAGAAAGGTTATAAGTGTTATTTCCCATAGGTGTGTACAAATTTTGTTCGTCTTGATGTCACCTCCTTTGAGTCAACACCATTCTCCTCTACTACAATTATTTCTTTTGATGATTCCTTGTTTTCATTGCTACTTCCTATCCTAGAGTGATTTACATATACGTTTAACAAGCTCTGACACCATCATCATCATTGCTTCTGTTGCTACATCGAACTCCTAATTTAGATCTCTCTGTAACAGCCTGCAATTGTGTGTCTTCCTACATTTGCATCAGGAAAGGGTGAGAACACAAGTAATCTATAAGGCACCAATTGGGCCAATCTTCTAGAAAGGAGCCCAAATAGAACTTTTTGAAGGAAAAAGGTTTTGAGGAAAAAAAAACTATAAATGGGGATCCCCTGAATAGGAATGCTCTAATAGAATCCACATTCTCCCCTCAAGAGTCCTTGAGAGGTTATAACTGTTCTTGCCCCAAAGACTTCCTTTCCTGCTCTTCCTCTCTCTCAGATCTCCTTTTCCCTATTACCTCCGATGGCCACCCTTCCAAGGTGCCATTTCTGCAATTGTTTGAGCCAAGACCCCTTTGTGCCGATCCACACCCACTTACACTCCCTATTGCACCTTGTAAAAGTAAGCAATCATGCACAGCTCATCCTATTTCTCAATTTGTTTCTTATAATCATGCTTCTCCTACTCATCGTTGCTTGTATCCTTGTTATCTTCTATTTCTATCCCTGAGTTTGTTCAGGATGCCCTCTGCTCTCTTGACTTGAAGAAAGCCATAGATGAAGAAATACATGCTCTTTAGTTTAATGACACTTGGGACCTTAATGCTCTTCCACCAGGGAAGAAGGCTGTTGAATGCTGATTCATATTTATTGTGAAACATTGTCTTGATGGTGGTGTTGAGGGATTGAAAGTTTGACTTGTTGTTAAGGGCTTCACAAAGACATGCCGAGTTGACTATTTTGAGACTTTCTCTCAGGTTGCTAAACTCACTTCATTTCATGTTATTATTTCTCTTGTTGCTTGTTTTAATTGGCTGTTGTATCAGATGGACATTAAGAATGCATTTCTTCATGGTATGCTTGAAGAGGAGATTTATATGGAGCAACCTCCAGGGTATGTTGCTTAGGGGGAGGTAGGAAAAGTATGTAAATTGAAAGAGCTATCAATGGGCTGAAACAATCATCTCATCCTTGTGCCTGGCTTGGCTGCTTTAGTGTAGTTCAATTTTTTTGGCTGAAGCTATTGATCACTAGATGCCTTGTACTAGCCATGCTTTCATCCTTTCTTAATTTGTCAATGGATGGGAGGTCCAATTTTTTTTTTTTCATACTTTTGTTGTCAGGTTGTAGAAGAAACTGGGAAGGTTTGAATATATTTTTCTTTGACATCATTGGATGACACCAGATAAGCTAACCAGTGGGGAGTAACTGCGTCCTGACCCATAAGGGTGTGTGGTTTACCTCTTGGAAACCTAACAAATTCTCAGCTTGTACTCTTTGTTGGAGGATATAATGCCAGGGGTGTTAGTACCATCTAATTGGAGATTTTCTGCTGATCTTTTGCTGAGAATGTAAAGCTTTTCCTAATCTGAACTTCATTTCATGCTTCCCTTAGTACATAAAATTTCTATGTTCATAATTTTCTGACTTTTTAATCAATAGGGTATACTACACTGAAATTCTACACACCAACCTCCCAACAGAATGGCATTGCTGAGTGTCAGAATTGGCACATGTTTGAAGTTAATAGGGCATTCTTTTTTCAAATGGCAGTTTCGAAATCCTATTATAGTGATGCTATCTTTGTCGCTTGTTATCTTATTCGTATGCCTTGGTTGAGTTTTGTATCTCAAAATCTTTCACAACATTCTTTTCCTTGATAGTCTGTTAGTTTATTTTTCTCCACATATATTTGGATGTGTCTGCCTTGTTCACATCCTTGATAAACTTAATCCTCATCTGTGAAGTCCGTTTGCCTAGGCTTCTCAAGGATCCAAAAGGGGTTACAAGTGTTACCTCATCATTTAAACATTATTTTTATTAATATTGTATCATATTCTCTCAGTCTATAATGTACCATACGTTTCTACTTCCACATATGACATATTTTAGTCATGGCTCATATGTATAACTTGTCCCTATTTTTTATGAATCACTTTTGTCTTCTAGTGTGATTCCTAAGCCACCTATTATGCAGGTTTACTCTTGATGATTCTTTGCTCAAGTCATGCAACCATTTGCTCCAACATCTGTTAGTCATAATGCACAACCCAGTCATGCTAATCATCTTCACCTACCCATTACATTCTGGAGAAGTAAGCACTCCTATACTAATTCCATTAGTCTCTATGCTTCTTCATTATCTCTTAATTTCTGTAGCTTTATCTCCCCAGTGTCTACTATTTCTATTCCTAATAAGCTTGTCTAGGAAACCATTATTTATCCTGGGTGGGGGACAACAATGAAAAAAAAGAAATTTCTGCATTTCATAAAATGGTACTTGGAATTTGATTCCTCTTCCTCTTCGTATGAAATTGATTGGGTGTTGATGGGTGTACACAAAGAAGTTTCTCTTTGATGGATTAGTTCAGTGTCTTAAAGCTAGATTAGCTGACATATGGTGTTAATTGTGTTGATATGTTTCTATCCGTTGCTAAAATTTCATTTGCTTGTGAAAGAATGGTAGGATCCATCTAATGGACGCCAAGAAGGTTGCGGAATGGGTGGGCAAATTTCAAAAAAAATTTCCTACCTTCTTCCAACTAGGAATCATATTCCCTAAATTTAGAATTCAATATTCAAGGATCTTACTTGAACCATAATCGAACCAGATCTGAACCAAAAGCAAAAGGGAGGAATATACCTGATCCGGAGAAGCAGTATCTCCCAAAGTTGGTCTTCACGCCCAAAGAAGAAACCAAGATCCGCTCCTGCTGAAGATGACACAACTGTGGGTGGAACGGAACCAGTAGAGTGCGTCCTACACACTGGATCCTTCGCAAGAATCCTTTGGAAACTCTGAACACTGAATCTTCTTCAGTCTTTTCTGCAAGACTGATGTCAAGAACTGGTTTCTTGACTTCTTTCCTCTACAAAGATCGAATCTTGTGAGARGCAATGGCGGCGGCGGCTGGAGGAGAACTCCAAGGACAAAGACAGAAGAATTGCTTCTCTTCTCTCTGGAGTATGAATGAGATCTGATCTCTATTCGCAGGAAGCTTTCTTGCTTTCTCTAAAACCCCTTGGTTCGAAATTTGATATTTTTTTCTCTTAGTGTTTCTCCTCCTTCTTGATTAAGAAACCTCCTAATTAGGAGTTATCCCAATCCAAATCAGTATTTGGATAGGGGATTATCTTAATCCTATCTGCAGATAAGTTAGCGTACTCCTGTTCTTATCAGGAGGTTACCAGATTCAAATCTGATTTGAATTTGGTCTCCCAGAGTGGATAAGGTTAAAAGGCCCTATCCTTTTGCTAACATAATCTCAGATCCGCCCCATAGATGGGTGATCACATAAGCTCAGCTCGAAATGGGCTTTTGGCCCATTAAATGTTCAGTGCTTAATTTGTTTCCAATCTGCTGCCCAGTTGGGCTTATTTGTATGGCGTGGACCCAAGCATTGATCTACACACCAGCCACATGGGTTCGGCCCAACCTTTATTACAAGGCCYASCCGAATTCACTRARAARCYCAGTRAACCCCTGAGCCCATCACATGGACCCTATGGGCCCAACACTTACATTAAGTGGTTCCTGGGCCAAGCCATCTTATAAAAACCCAGGGACTG